CTTAAAGTCCGTGTGGCCCAGCGACAGCCCCGAAACCTGAAGGCTCTGGAGGAGATCTGTATGGAGGAGTGGGCCAAAATCCCTGCTGCAGTGTGTGCAAACCTGGTCAAGAACTACAGGAAACCTCTGATCTCTGTAACTGCAAACAAAGGTTTCTGTACCAAATATTAAGTTTCATTTTTCTGGTGTATCAAATACTTGTTTCACACAATAAAATGGAAWTTAATTATTTAAAAATCATACATTGTATTTTTCTGGATTTTTGTTTTAGATTCCATCACTCACAGTTGAAGAGTWCCTATGATAAAAATTACAGTCATCTACAAGCTTTGCAAGTGGGAAAACCTGAAAAATCAACAGTGTATCAAATACTTGTTCTCTCCACTGTATATATGTATTCTCCCCGACTCCTCCTCCTTGCCCCATACCTCTCAACCAATCAACCAACACATGCATAGTGGGTTCCATACAACTTAACAATGGTAACCCGTAAAACTGACTCAGTCATTTTTGTGTGTTTTGAGGTCTCTTGGTTGTGACAACCCTGTGTTTAAGGGTTGGCTCTAACTTTGTCATCATTTTCTTCAGGTTTTATTAAAAACGTCCACTGGCTCAGGAGATTTTTTTGACTCCTACAGAAAAGTTTTAAATATAAACTCAAGTTCAGAGGTTTATAGTAACTAAGTACATTTACTTTGTTACAGTACTTAAGTAGTTTTTTTGAGGATTTGTAATTTTACCAGTTATTTTTTTAAACAGCTACTTTTACTTTGTTACATTTTAAAGCTAAAAATTATACTTTTGTTTCTTTACTTGAAAATATAACAGCTAGTTACTTGTTACAACATTAAATCTGTTTGAACTCATGAAAGATGTTTCAGCTCTAAAAAATGAAGAGTTGAATTTACTCAACAAAGTCCTGTCAGCTGGTTCCACTAAGACTGAACAAAGAATAACCACATATTGATCAATTTACTCAACCTGGTTCAGTGAAACCAGTTTAGTTCAGTAAATTCAACAGTTTATTTCTTAGAGTGTGTAAAAGTACTTTTACTTTTACTTTCCTAATTGTTGTGAACAGTTTTATGACTTTTACTTTAGTTTTCTCATCAGTGAAATTTATTTTTACCAAAGTCATTTTCTGTTCATGTAATTTTACTTTTACTTAGTTATATTTTCCAAGTACTTCATAGAGATCTGGTCAAGTTACATCATAATCTGTTATCACTCAGTGTCTGTACGGCAAAAGACTCTCAGGTAGTACCACACCAAATTAGTGCTTTATCTGTAAAATTGATAGTTTTTCTTTTTGCTAAGGTTTATTACTGTGGCAGTCATCTTGACTTGGGTGGACTCCAAAACTTAAACTTAAGAAAATACATCCAGTAACCACTTAGACAGTCTGTGGTCTGGTTCATAAGCTATTTTACTGACAGACACAGACACACAAGCATAAACATCATCTCTTTCTCACCCTTTGCTGGTAGAAAACTAAAAAAAGTTGCCCTACCTGTGAAAATTTAGGAGTTCCTGTGAGGACGGCCCTCAGTGCCAGGATTAATTCCTCTTTGGTGATTCCATTGACGTCATTAGGAGGCTGGAAAGAATGAGTGGTGATAATAAGAAAATAAAATTCAAAAAACAAAATAAAAAAACATTAAACACAAAAAACTTCTGACACTTCACTTAAAGTCAGACTGAGACGCTTCATAAATGACTTTTAGCTGAGGATTTTTTACACTTAAGTACATTCTTAGCAGCATTATTAAGGGTAATTCTACGTAGTTTGATGAATATAGACCCAGATGACCAGTGCTGTTGGAAAATACAGCCATTTTAACAAATCCATCTGCAAAACCCAGGGTTTCCCCCAGAAAACTCCACCAGTAGACCACCGTGTTTTTGTTGAAAAATGTTACAAGTTGACAGAAAATTTGAAAATATGGTGTCATGTCATTATATGTTATTGTAAAACATTGTTGACAGCACTTAGAACATCAAATATAGCAGATGACACCAAATCTTTTGAGACTGCTGCTAGAAAAAAACATTACTGTTTGGGGTGTGGTGGGAGGTGTAACTGTCCCAGACTTTAATACCCCCGCTGTAATGGTAACTGTAGTGGAAGTGTTGTATATCTCTGGATGACTGCATATTTCCTTGACATGTTTCTTGTTTCTGTATCTCATTGATAACTGTCAGTGTGCAATCTGTTCTCATAACAATGCTGTACGCCTGCTATCTCATGGCCTATATAACTTGTAACTATTTCATTGGTCCCTGTATATCTCTGTACGCTCTTATTTGTTAACAGGACTCTGCCCGGAAGTATATAACTGTCTGTTTCCTGTTTCCATGTTAGTGCGGACTTGACAGAATGCTCTGATCACGTCTGTCCAGTTCCCACGCAATTTCTCTTGCATATACAGGTGCTGGTCATATCATGAAAAAGTAGATTTATTTCAGTAATTCCATTTAAAAAGTGAAACTTGTATATTATATTCATACATTACATACAAACTCATATACAGGTGCTGGTCATAAAATTAGAATATCATGAAAAAGTAGATTTATTTCAGTAATTCCATTTAAAAAGTGAAACTTGTATATTATATTCATACATTACATACAAACTCATATAT